TCTGTTCCCACTGCAATTTAACTTCTACCTGAAATCGCTAGGTGAGGTTATTCATTAACACAGGGTCAAGTATCATCATTATGCTGATAACACTCAATTGTGCATTTCTGCCTTGGACTGTTGAAGTAATACTCTTGAGGTGCTTTCCTGGTGCTTATACAGAGGCTGTATGGATCTCGATGGGGAGAAATTGGCTTCAGCTCAATCCTGACTAGAGTAAGTGGCTATAAGTTTTAGGGCCCTAAAATGATTTGCCATCTTTAACTAACTATGGTTACACTTCCCCAGTCAGAGTTAGTACACAATCTAGGTGTCATCTTGGACTCATAGCTCCTGTTTGAAGAGCAGGTGGCAGTCATGGCCAGGAGAGCCTTTGCACAAAATATATCTTGTATGCCAATTGTTCCCCATCCCAGATCAGAAGGCACTGCTCATAGTCACTCATGCCTTAATCAGCTCCCAACTGGATTATGGCAACATGCTGTACATGAGGCTGCCCTTGAAAAGTGTTTGGAAGTTTCAGCCAGTCCAGAATGCAGAGGCACACATAGTAGTGGGCGCACTGCAGTATGCCCATGTAATGCTGCTGCTGCATAAACTGTACTGCTTCCCAGTAGGCTTCTGGGTGCAATTCAAAGTGCTGGTTGTCACCTTTAAAGTCCTACATGGCAAGGGGCCAGGTTACTTGTGGGACTGCCTATCCCCAGTGGTGTCTACCCATCCCACTAGATCTCCAGCCCCCCTCACTGATAGGACCTTGGAAGCTTGCCTTCTCTGTCATGGCACCTGCCTTATGAAATAGCCTCCCCCTGGAGAAAACAGATTACCCCAACCCTATTGACCTTTAGGAAAGCAGTGAAGCCCTGGCTTTTCTCCCAGGCACTGGGGCCAGAATGTTAATGGAACTGGTATGGTGTGTTTGACCTACATTTTATTGGGGCCCCAACATTGTCTTTTTTGCTTTAATGTTTTTTGATAATTGTAAAGTGTTTTTATTCTTATTCATCATCCAAGTTCCTTTTGATAGATGGGCTTCCATAAACATTTGTTAAACAAAGAAATACATATGGTTCTCCTTGCCCTCCATCATTATAATCAACCCCCTGGCACACCACATCAGAATCCATTTGGCTATTAGAAGGTCGAATTATCATCAACCAGAACATAACTGGAGTCATTTACAATTACATGTTCCTCTCTCACTCCAACCAGAAGTCTGCAAGATTTTCAGAATTTGCAGAGCAAACTGTCCATTGATACTGATTTCTACCATCAAACATCTGTAGAGAGTATTTTACAGATATTCTTTTGGCAATGTGCCTTCTAGATTGTTATTAAATCTATTTTTTTATGTTGAACTGTTAATTTGTTTTAGGTTAATTTCCATGTTATTGTTATCCATTGCTTTCCTTTGAATATGGCAGTGTAGCTAAGAATACAATGACTCCCAATAACTCGCAGCCAACCCAAAATAATACAATAATTGACAATACCAAAAGCTGCTGGAAGATGAATTAATAAAATCACACTTACCCTGTCTCTTGTAGAAGCCATTCGTCACATTGGATTGGGTTTAGATAATCAATTTCTTCTAAAAGTACCTGAAGCTCTTCAGCACTACCGTCTTGAGTACTTTATTTAAGAAGGGATACAGTAACTGCCAGGTAGTTAAAAAGTTCAGAGTGGACTTCTTGTCTCTTTCTATATATCTAGCACCCTCATCCTTACTACAACATTTCATTTATCATACTCCAGATCTGTCCAGTTAGTCTCTTCCACCTTGATCAAATTAGCCATGAAGGGCTGTGGTCAGGAGAACATATAGTCAGATACTTAGTTTCAGGTGTCCTCCTCCAGTCTCCAGAATGGAAACTGGTTCTGATAGGACATCAGGTATGTCATTTGGACTAGCCTCAGCTGTAAAATCCAGGTCAGAAAAGTGATTTTATTCCTGAGACATCTTGCAAATATATCATAGTAGGCATCTCTGGACTCCAACATTCCATTTGTTGTGGCAGGATTAAACTACTTTGCCAGATAACTACTCAAGAATGCAAAGATGGCAGAAAACAAAGATTTTGTTTTTGTGCAGAAATTTCCACAATCTGCATTCCAGCTGTGCCAACCTGGAACATTGTTGTTAGATCCTCCTCTGAGTTTCCTGGTGCTTGTAATAGCACAGCAATGAATATACCTGAGCTAAAGTTGCTTTAATCTCATATGTGGTACCAATAGAGGTGAATATGTGTAGCTCAGGGTTGAACTGTGGAGTCCTTGGGG